GTCAGTCTTTACCTCTTGTTAAGGCTGGGAAGGAAATCTACAAAAAGTGAGCCGATGCAGCGGCACTGCCTGGGTCTGCAGAGAGCCTGAGCCCATCACTGTGTGTGTGTGTGTGTGTGTGTGTGTGTGTGTGGGAAATCTTCCCAAGTTTGACCAACACAGCGATGCTGCTTGGGTCTGCCGAGAGCCTGAGTCTGTTGGTGGGAGAGCAGGAGTTGCTCTGGGTGTGGGCAATCCAGCGATGCTGCCTGAGTCTGCTAAGAGCCAGAGCCTGTCGCTGGAAGTGGGGGGAGCTGCCCTGCATGTAAGCGATGCAGCAATGCTGCCTAAGTCTGCAGCGAGTCTGAGCCCCATCGCTGGGAGGGGCGGAGCTGCACCAAGTGTAACTGACTCAGCGACGCTGCCTGAGTCTGCCGAGAGCCTGAGACAAAAGCCCTGTGAACTGCTCCCTATCCGGGTCACAGGGCTGAGGCTGTGGGGGGATTAGCCGTGCTGGGGGTCGCTCCTGTCCATGGGGGGGCATCCGGGCCCTGCAGACTTTGCCCCGGCCTTGCTGGGCCCTGTGTTGTGCTGAGATTTGGGGGCTTGGCCACTCCCTCATCCTGGCTTGGTCCTCTGGGCTACTATGTGTTTTCCCCCTTCCAGGGTAGCAAAATTTCTCCGGACCAACTATCCGGCTGCCTTTCCAGGCTGCTCTCTAACCTAAGACTATACCCCTTTCCCAGCAGCGGGCAGGGGAACCCGGGCGCACACATGACACGAGTCCAGCCCAGGGACCCTCTATCCAGCAACCCCAGACCCCGTTGCTATTTCCCCGTGCTCCTTCCTATGTCCTTCTTTTTCTCTTTCTCGGTGTTCTGGCCCAGCCCTGGGGTCCAACTCAAGCTCCCATGGGGTGACTGCAGCCTGCTTCCCCTGCAGCCTGTTTCTGCTGACAGCTTCCTGGCTTTATACCAGCCCTGCCCGTCCTTCTCAGATGGGCTCCATCATCATCCCAGGGTCACTTAGCAGGGGTGTGGGGGAAATGTTCCCCTGTACCCTGGTAGCTCTTCCAGGCTGCGCCTGCTCCAGTCCTGGACAGCCAACTGGACAGCCCCCGTCCACATGCAAACCCTCTCAAGCCAGTGGAGTGTTGCTTTCCAGACGGGCCAGTTGTGGAGTGGGGAGGGGTAAGTAGAGCCAGCCGGGCTAGTGCATGTTCATCCCCCCACCCCTAATCCATGGCCACCAAACTGGACTGGAGACGCCACCATCCATCGGCATCTGCGGCACCTCGCCTCCTCCTGCGGGAAATCCCCTGTTCCCCGGGCGGCCTGCTGAATTTCTCAGCAGCTCTGGTGCTGTAGCATTGGGAGGTTTCAGCCGACAGCTCTGCTGGAGGAGCCACGTTGAGTGATGCCCATGGGGCAGCAGGCCTGGGGACTGTGGGAAAGACGATGGGGCTATGAGGCAGGTAGGGCAAAGAGCATTTATTTCAGATCGAGACAGACATCGTTAGCACGATTAGAAAATAGAGGACAACCCCCGAAAAACACAGCACCAGGAAAACGGGGGGCGGGTGTGGGAAAGGGAGGGAGCCCTGGGAGGCCACTCCATTTCAGCCAGTCGCCCGCCGTACCCCTGGCACTGGAGTGGAGCCACTAACAATACAATCTACCGAAGATGAACATGGTAAAGTACCCAGCACTGCACGTCCCCCCCCGCCCCCCGCCCCAGCATGTCCCCGCCCCATGGCAACGTGACAGAGCCTGTCCTCAGCAATCGGCCCCTCCTTCCTCTCTGTACCTGGTGCAGCGGGTGCCGTGTTGTAAGGAGCAAGGGGATGGTGACCAGGCACGAACCCCAGTATCCCCCGTGCGGCCTCCATCGGAGAGGAGACCATGGCAGCCCCGAGACGCAGCAGAGGCAGTGGGGCCTGGCGTGGCCTGGGACAGTCCCGTGAGGTCATGGCCAAGCCAGTCGGGATGCCAGTTCTATCCCACAGTGTGGCCCCGTGGGCATGCCAGCTGCCCCCTGGCTGAGCCACACACCGGGGACTGGCCACAATCATGCCCCCAGGAAGAGGCGTCTGGGAGCTGCTGGAAAGTGACCCATGGCTGGAGACGCTGCCAGACCCGAGGGGCCAAGCTCCGGTGCCTGGCTGAAAAAATCAGATTTGTCAAACAATAATAATTAGGGGCAGGGTTGGGGGATGAGGATGGGACCCACCTTGTGGTTCTGAGCTTGGCTGGGGAAAGCGCCGGCTCCCAATGGGTGTGAGAGCATCTGGGGCTCAGCCTACAATGCATCCCGCCCCCTAGAGCTGGGGACTGCCTCTCTCCCCATCCCGCCCGGCCTCTAAGCTGTCTGCCCCCTGCCTGCCCCCAGTTTCTCTGCCTTTTCCTTTGCAGCCCTCCCCCCGTTCCTTCCTGCACCCCCTGGCACTCCCCTCCCCCGTCCTACTGCCCCCCATGTCCTCCTGAGCCCTCCCTCAGCCTTTCTCCTGCCCCATCCCCTCCCTGCCCCCCACAACCGCCCGCCCCCCATATCCCCCTAGCCCTGCCTCAGCCTTCCTCCTGCCCCATCTCCCCTCACACCCCTGCCCCAGCCCCCCCCCCCCGCCTCCTCCTGCCCCTGTGATCTCCCTCCTGTCCTTCAGGCTGCCCCCAGCCTCCCTGCTGCCCCCACCTGCCCCTGTGACCTCTCAGCTCTCCACATTTCCCTGCAACCCCCTCCTGCCCTCTATACCCCACATCCCTGTGACCCTTCGACCTTTCTGCCCCCCCATCCCCCTGCCCTAGTTTCCTGCCCCAGGCTCCCTGAATGGATCCTTTCAGGGTGGGGGCTAACTCTACAGCACAGGCTGGCTTCATCCCCCCCTCAAATAAATGGGAGAGAGTGGCCATTTTGACTGAGGGAAAATGGCCAGCTCCCTCAGGGTGTGTCTACACTGTGCACTAAGCCTGGCTCTGACTCAGGTTTGAGCACCAGGCCCCCCCTGCCGTCCACACACGTCGGTCTGACTTGGCTCAGCAAGCGCACCGGGCCCAGGGCCCGGCTACGGGGGGTGGGTCCAAGCTCTGGCGTCGTGCAGTGTGGACACAGCTCAAGCTGCAGCCCAGAGGCAGAAGGGCCACGCGGTGCAGTGTGGACGCACTAGCCTGGCTGGGAGACTGGGGCCAGCATTTGCAAACTCAGGTTTACAAAGCAACGCGGATGCTCCAGCGCAGGCTTGGACACACCGAGTGCACAGGCCTGGCTTCCCCAGACCCGGGATTACAATGCAGTGTGCAGACAGCCTCCATGCGAGATGGGGCAGAGGCCAGAAATATCCTCCAGCAGTCTCGGTGCTCCTCTGACAACCCCACAGCGACTTGCTGGGTCCCACAGCAAGCGCACCGCTCCCTCGAGGTGTGGGAACAAAACTTCCTCCCTCACGTGTGCATGTGTCTGGGGTTTCTATCTGTCTCTTCTACATATACACACACACACACACACACACACACACACACATACACACACGCACATGAGGAGGGTTCTCATACATGCGTGCACACAAGGAGGGTTCTCACACATGTGCATGCACGAGGTTCTCTCACACATACATGTGCACAAGGGTTTTCTCACACGCATGTAGGAGGGTTCTCTCACATGCATGTGCACAAGGAGGCTTCTCTCACACGCGTGCACGAGGAGGCTTCTCTCTCATGCACACACATGAAAGGTCTCTCTCGTGGACACATACAATGAGGCTTTATTCTCTGTCACACACATAGGTTTCACAGACAGACAGAAACATCGGAGGAGGTTTCTCTCTCTCTCACACACACGTTTCACACTAGGGTTGCCAACCCTCCAAGATTGTCCTGGAATCTCCAGAAATTAAAGATCAATCTTTAATTAAATATGTCATGTGATGAAACCTCCAGGAATATGTCCAGCCAAAATTGGCAACCCTATTTCTCACACACACACACACACACACAGTTACAGGTTTCACACACATGAGGAAGTTTCAGATACACACACTCACGGGAGGAGGTTTCACGCACGCACAAGGTTTCATACAGACACAGGCACATAGGAAGAAGTTTCACACACACACAAGAGGCGGCTTCACATACACATGCACACACATGGAGGCTCGCACTCCCACACCTGCACACACGGTAGGAAGTTTCTCACACACACACAAGGAGGTGTTACACACACATAAGAACATAAGAACGGCCAGACTGGGTCAGACCAAAGGTCCATCTAGCCCAGTATCCTGTCTGCCAACAGTGGCCAGTGCCAAGTGCCCCAGAGGGAATGAACAGAACAGTCAATCATCAAGTGATCCATCCCCTGTTGCTCATCCCTGGCTTCTGGCAAAGAGAGGCTAGGGACACCATCCCTGCCCATCCTGGCTAATAGCTATTGATGGACCTGTCCTCCATGAACGTATCTAGTTCTTTTTTTGAACCCTGTTATAGTCTTGGCCTTTACAACATCCTCTGGCAAAGAGTTACACACACACACACGGATAGACACACATAAGGAGGGTTATCACACACACACTCACATGGACACGTGGGAGGAAGTTTCACACATGACATTTCACACACATGGATGGATGGACATCCACACGAGGTTTCACATACACACGGACATACAAGGAGGTTTCTCACACACAGACAAGGTTTCACACCCACACGGATATGCAAGGAGGTTTCTCACAAACACATATGAGAAGAGGTTTCTCACACACACATGGACACAGGAGGTTTCTTTCTCTCTCTCTCTCTCTCACACACACACACACACGGACACACAGAGGTTTTTCTCACATTCACACACACACACAGACACGAACAGAGGTTTCTCACACACACACAAGCAGAGGTTTCTCACACACACAGACACGAGGTTTCTGACACGCGAGAGGTTTCTCACACACACACACGAGGAGGCTTCTCACACACACAGGAACACACAAGGAGGTTTCTCACACACACAGGGTTTCTCTCTCCCCCCCACACACACACACGGAGGTTTCTCACACACCCACCCACGGACAGACCCCCCTGCTGCTCTTGTCTTGGCACGCTGCCTGTGCGCTCTCACACCATGTCTACACTGAAGGAAGTGGCCCGGCCTGGCTGTTCCAGACTAACTACTCCACACTGGCTAGTGCCGTCTAACAGAGCTATTTTGGACTCCCTGGACCAGGCTGGCTGCCCCTTTGAGGGCCAGCGCCCTGGGGCCCTGCTGGGAAGGGATGAGGCCAAGCCTGGCAAGGGCTGAGGGGGCTAGCACCTGTGACCAGCCTGGCACAGCAGAAGGCATCTGGGCCTGTCGCCGGGGCTGGGCAAGGGCGTCGCTTTGGGGGCAGAGTGATTGTCCTGGGATAGAGTTCTTTTTCCCTCGGAAAAGCGCGTCCACCTGGAGCTGCTGTTTCAGTCAATCTCCCTGTCTGGACGAGGTTTTAGATACGGCTGGATCGTCGTCCCTTCGCAGGGCAGACCGGCCATGGGGCCGGTGATTCCGTGCGCTCCCCAGGCAGCCCACGTTAACATCCACGCCCCAAGGATGCCCGGAGCCCAACTCTGGGCCAGATCCTCTGTACGGTCGTTGCAGCTGCCCCCCCTCGATTCCCACGCCCAGCCCAGGGGAGTAGGAGCATGTCAGTGTGTGTAAGTAGGGGCACCAACTCTCCCTCCGGGGGACGAGCACCCCAGTGGGTGGCAGCACGGGAAGTGGTGCCCCCTTGGTTCCCACGCCCTCCCCTGAGGATGGTGCATTCTGGGCAGAAGTGGCATAGGAGCTGGCACCCCCCTGAATCCCACAACCTCCCATGGGAAAGGAGTGGACATGACAGCTGGCACCCCCTCAGTTCCCCATGTGGGAGGGACACCCCAGAGGGTGGCAGCACGGGAACTGGTGCCCCCTGATTCCCATGCCCTCTCCTCCCATGATGGAGGAGGGCGCCAGAGGCGTGGGAACCACTGCCCCTTGGTTCCCACGCTCCACGCCAGGGCAGCTACTCCTGGTGGGTCCTCTGGTGGCGGAGGAGGTGGGAGGTAGCTCCGAAGCCCTTCCCGCAGTCGGCGCACTTGTAGGGGCGCTCGCCGGTGTGAGTGGCCCGGTGCCGGGCCAGGTGGGCATCGCGGGTGAAGCCTTTGCCACAGACCCCACACTCGAAGGGCTTCTCGCCCGTGTGGGTGCCCTGGTGCCGGGCGAGGTGGGCGCTGCGGGTGAAGGCTTTGCCGCAGACGCCGCACTGGAAGGGCTTCTCGCCGGTGTGGACGAGCTGGTGCCGGGTCAGGTGGGCGTCACGGGTGAAGGCCCTGCCACAGATACCGCACTGGTAGGGGCGCTCACCGGTGTGGGTGCCATGGTGCCGGGTCAGGTGGGCATTGCGCCCGAAGGCTTTCCCGCAGTAGGTGCACTTGTAGGGGCGTTCACCGGAGTGGGTCTCCTGGTGCCGGGCCAGGTGGGCGCTGCGCCCAAAGGCTTTCCCGCAGTGGGTGCAGGCGTAGGGGCGCTCGCCCGCCGGCGGCGGAGTCAGGGCCGGGCCCTTGCTGCGGTGGCTGCAGGCATAGGGGCGCTGCTCTCCGCCTGAGTGGGTGCCCAGGTGCCGGGTCAGGTGGGAGCTGCGCCGGAAGCCCTTCCCGCAGTACGGGCACGTGTTGGACTTCTCACCCATGGACGTGGCCGGTGGGGGGGTCCAGCAGCCTGGGGTTATGTGCGCAGTCAATCCTCGAACGAGCCTGCCTGCAGCCCGGCTTCGCTGTTCCCTTTGGCTCCTCCCAGGCAGCTCCGGGGATCCCCCTCCTTCTTCCCTGCTCCCTGTGAGGACAGAGAATCCAGTGGTGAGTTGCTCCATGGGGGGAGGGGCATGCTCCCTAAGCCTCCCCGTTTCTGGTGAGAGGCAGCGTGGCCTAGCGGATAGAGCACCAGAACTCAGGGCACTTGGCTTCTATTCCTGGCTCTGGCCTCCTGGGCGACCATCCCGCTCTGTGCCTCAGTTTCCCCACTTGTGCAATGGGGATTACACTACTGAGCTCCATTGTCGAGGGATATGAACTCTATGGATGGAAAGCACTGGGCATTATTATTAATATAGAACCAAGCGCCGGCAGCTGAGCCTGGAATCAGCTGTCTCCAGGCTGACTCACGAGTACATCTTAGCCCCAGCAGAGCTGCTCGGTAGCTGGCCGGCCTGACTGGCTGAGGGGGAGGCAGCTTAACGCTTATGCTCGCCACTATGAGTGCTCCTGCCCCAGCCTTGCCTCCCAGCCTTCTTCCTGTCCTGCTCTGGTCTGCTCCTTGCCTGGTTTTTGTCTCTGTCTCCGGCCCTGGGCTTGACCCGGGGTTCCTGACTCCAGCTCTGACCACTAGGCATGACAATCCACACCCAGGCTGTTGACACTGATTCTCATTTATGCCCAGGCCCCATGGCGCTGAGAGGCAGGCCCCCAAGACAGCAATTGGGGCTCAGAAGGAGACACCCCGAGCCTTCCTCTAATGGAGGGGCCCCAGGCCTGCTTCGGCATCAACGCCTCCAGGGAAAGGCCTGGAGGGGTTAATGACCGGGGCAGTGGGGGTTGGTAAGACATGGATCCCCACGGGGGAGGAATGCTCGTGTGGGTGACAGCACGGGAACCAGCACCCCCCACATTCCTACCGTGACAATCAGCTTCGGTTGACTGGCAGTTCCAAAAAAACTGGGGAAAAACACATCATTTTGGGGTTGACCCCTAACTGATTTTTTTTTTAAATGTTGGTGAATCTTAAAGTTGAAACAATAATTGTTTCGGGTCAAGTGAAATCTTTCAGTCAACCCAAAACATTTTGAGTCGATGTAAAGATTTTAAAAAAAAAAATGCATTTGCCTTTTAAAAATAAAATCGAAGGCAGATCCTAACCGGAAAGTCATTTCAGCCGGCAATTCATATAGAAAATGTCATAAGGAAACTTTGGACCTTTGGGGAATTTTTGTTGTTTATTTTCCCCACCGCGACCAACAATTTGGTGAATCAGACATGAATTCGGGAAGCGTTTTTGGCCTCACTGAATCTGCAGTTTTTGCTGAAAAAAACATTCCACTCAAAAAATGTCACCAAAGTCTAGTTACCTGCTAGAGGGGCTCTGGGCGGCTTTGCTGGGACTCCCGTGCTCCCCTGCAGGGTTCCCAGCTGGTCTAACTCCCTGCTCACTGATTCCTCTCCGGTGTTGTCCTTTCCTCCAGGCCCGATTGTGGTCACATCCCCAGGAGCTCACAACAGAAAACCCTACTGAGGGAAAGCATTAGGGTAAGGTCAGGTGTTCCGTGACAGCTCCTGGGACGGTTCTACACTCTCTGCTTCAGGGATCCAGCCAATCTACAGCTATTTGGGGATGGGACGGGACTAGAACAAGGCAAATAATGGAGTTTTTGATTAACTGGCAATTTTGAAAAGTTGGGTGGGAAAAAGAGAGTTTCTAGTCAGTGCAAAAATGAAAGTTTTTAAAATCGTAAAGTTGGACAAAAAGTTTTCGCGTCGCGTCTTATTATTAGCAGGAGTGTTGTGAGCAAGACATGAGAAGTAATACTTCCGCTCTACTCTGCGCAGATTAGGCCTCAACTGGAGTATTGTGTCCAGTTCTGGGCACCACATTTCAGGAAAGATATGGAGAAATTGGAGAAAGTCCAGAGAAGAGCAACAAAACTGATTCAGGTCTAGAAAACATGACCTGTGAGGGAAGATTGAAAAAATTGGGTTTCTTTAGTCTGGAAAAGAGACAACTGAGAGGGGACATGATAACAGTTTTCAAGTACTTAAAAGGATGTTACAAGCAGGGAGAAAAATTGTTCTTCTTAACCTCTGAGGAGAGGACAAGAAGCAATGGGCTTAAACTGCTGCAAGGGAGGTTTAGGTTGGACATTAGGAAAAATTTCCTAACTGTCAGGGTGGTTAAGCACTGGAATAACTTGCTTAGGGAGGTTGTGGAATCTCCATCACTGGGGATTTTTAAGAGCAGGTTAGACAAACACCTGTCAGGGATGGTCTAGATAATACATGGGTAGGCAACCTATGGCATGCGTGCCAAAGGCAGCACGCGAGCAGATTTTCAGTGGCATTCACACTGCCCGGATACTGGCCACCAGTCGGGGGGGG